GGCATTTCCGATCTGGTCTCGATCGATACATATGGATTATTGGAATGATTTATGCTTACTTCCATCCTAATGTAAGTATTTCAGATATGGATCTATATTACCCTGATCACCCTCTCAGACTATGTGTGAGATGTTATTGGTTACGTCTATATATATATCTTCCTCAATCTCTCTATACCTTAAGCATCATTTCTTTTGTTCAGATCATGTTAATCTAACATGGAACCTTTTATCCTAAACAGGTTGAAAAATGGATGGAGAAGCTGGAAGAATCTGAGACTAAGGTTAGATTATCAATCAAGGGAGCCATTGTCACTCTTTCGTTGACGGTATGTTCCACCATCTCTTACCTTCGTTGTTGTGTTAACTAGGTTGGATTTCTTTAAATCAAGTACTTGACACCACTGTGTTAATACTACTGTACTAACTAGGTGTTGTGTTTCTTCTTCTAGGCTGGCTTTCTGTGGTACGAATATATATACAAGCTAGACAAAGTTACATACAACAAGTACCATCCCTACACGTCATGGATCCCTATAACGTACGTATAAGAAATGTTAACATGTATTCATAATCGATGTGGCATGTGCCAGCAATATGCTTTGTTGCAGTTGACAATGAACTTTGTTTCTTACAGTGTTTATATCTGCCTGCGTAATTGCACCCAGCAGTTGAGGAGTGCCTCTTTGGCTCTTTTTGCGTAAGCATTAAAACTTTTACTACCTACATTGTTCATGTGTTTTCTTGGCTTACTTGGTGACTAAGTATTAATCTGTATTTGTGACAGATGGCTTGGCAAGATTACACTAGAGACTTATATTTCTCAGATCCATATTTGGCTTAGGTATGACTCTTGTGTTATCGCTACATATATATTTTTCCCCTAATTATTGAAGGTACTTCCAGTTCACTAGCCTTCTGGTAATAAATAAATAGCACGTATTCCTATAGCATCCTGGATATAAGATCAACTCCGATCATTTTTCTCATATAGCAGTAGTTTATTCGACTGAACTAAAACGCTGCTCAAATACCTTTGCTTTGCCACACTGTGACCAAGCTTCTTTTGCAGGTCTAGCATGCCAAATGGACAGCCAAAATGGCTTCTTTGTTTCATACCAGATTATCCTATGCTAAACTTCATGCTTACTACGGCGATCTATCTTCTTGTAAGTTGCCAACTTCGAATCCATCTCATTACGTATCGGAAAAAGAAAACCATTTCATTCAACAGTCATAAAAAGATACTGATTTCATTATCTAATAAATGCAGCTATCATACCGTGTGTTTGAGATCACAGGCGTCTTGAGGGCGGCCTTTATCCCCAGTAGGGATAACAGCCGTCTATACCAAAATGTCATTGCTGGGATCACCATCTCAGTGTGCTTGTATCTCTGCTCACTTATTCTTCTGAAGATTCCTGTTGTATAGGTAAACAGACATCTGAAACTTACAATGTTTGCAGTTACCTCTGCGATTGATGTAACTCATGTATAGCTTATTGCATCTGCAGTGATGAAGATACACCAAGCAATCTTGATAGAAAATTTCTTGTAAAACGTTTGCTTGATAGGATGTTTCAGCTCTGGCCTCGATTCCCTTTTGCTGTTGTGGAGATAGCTGGGGATGCCAGGAGGAAGCGGCTAAGTTGGACATATGGGAATTGGGAAATTGAATTGCCAGATGCTGCAGATACAGAAGTCCAATTTTTGATCTTTTTGTTGTTCAAAACACTGCTGTATACAACAAGTAGGCAATCCGTGCATTCTTTTGGAAGTTGTAGCAACTACTGCTCGCTTAGCCTATGTTGATGCAACCTCGTGTAAGAGTTATCCTGTAGAACTGCACCGTGTTGTACCATAGGTATTTTGATGCTGTACAAAAACGACGGGCTTTTCCTCTTTCTTGAAAAGAAGAATATAAAGGCAGAGCCCTTTCTTCTCCCGATTACAACGTCGTCTTTGCTTTGGAACATCCAGTCTAGCCTGCTCTGAACTGTCCGCCCTGTATGTGCGTACCGGGCTCTGTCGACCGGTGGACGCTGGTAGCCGGTAGGCACGGCTCAAACGCTCGGTGGTGCCGTCGCGCGCAGCCGGGGCAGCCTCGGCCGCCGGTGGTGGTGGTCATCGTCGCGCCCGGCGCCGCTTCTCACGCGCCTGACGCCGGCCGGACGGGGCATCAAGGTCAAGCTTGTGATAATGCTATGGCAGATGCCACTGGGAGTTGGTAGCAGGTTCCATCGCCTCAATCATGGAGCGAGACAATCTTGGATTGTTGGTGCAACCTACCCAACTTCAAATCCGTCTTTCACGCAAGAACTGGAATACAGTCTACTAGTGTGGACTGGACTTGGAGAAAGTCCTGGAGTAGTTCAGGCACAGTTCGTCGTCTTTCAGAAAAAGGGGAAAAAACACAGTTCATCTGCTTAGGCGAACAGCTTTGTCCATGACGGGCAGCTAATATAACCCCAACCAACGTGCGATAAACTGTAGCGTATTTCTTGCAACGCGTGTTCAGCAATAATACGATGAGATCTTTTTTTGTTTGTTTGTTCTCCATTTTTGTCTGATCTGTTGATGACACCATGTGATGTAACGACAGAGGCCATCTCTATCTCGAAATGAGAACGAAAACCAACGGCATTCCTGGCTTCCTGCCTCTTGCGATAAATACCAGGTTTCACACTTTTGAAAAGAAAAATTCCAAGATATGTCAACCCTTTACTCGGTCTCGGTGTAACTACGTCACTCTCCACTATTTCCCGCCCATTTAAAAATCAATGCCCAAACGTGCATACTCGTTCCATCCAAAAATAAATGCCCAAATATTTTCAAGTCAAAGTACGCATCAGCTCCGTCCAAAAAAAGTGCCAACCAATCGTCCAAGCCCCAGTATGCTGCACGTGAGATTTCGCCGTCTGTTTTCACATCAGTCTCCGTCCAAAAAAAAGTGCCAAGTAATCGTCCAAGCCCCAATATGTTGGACGTGAGAAATAATCTGTTTTCACAAAAGTAACCCTGTTATTTATTGAAAAACGATTGATCGATTGATAAGTTTAGTAAACAGTAACTGTTCTGCACCGGTGCACCGGGACTCGGTCCGTGAGCAGGAGCAGGTACCTGCAGACGCGGTCATTGATAGTGTTTCAATTCAATCTTGAGCAATAATGAGAACAATACACAAGTCTATCAATTAATATTTCCATGATCCAACAGTGCATCATTTAGAGGGTGTTTGGTTTGAAGAACCATCTTATCTTTATGAAATGGTGTATTATGAGTCCATTGCTCAAACTTGGTGAAATGACTATTTTCTTTGTATTTAGGACAAATTGGAGTAGCTCGTAAGCAATGAGGTGATAGTTGAACTTATTTCATTTTGCAAACTAGAAGAGTTGCTATATTGCAGGTGCATGAACTTTTAGATGATTTTATACTACAATCTTATACAACCAACTAATACAACTAAAATGACAACTCACAAGAGAATTCACAAAAAAAAAAATCTATAGTCAAACAATCACAAAATTATCTATTGTCTAAACGACAACAAAAAATCATGCACCTAAAATATAGGAGAAGTGAATATCAAAATAAGGAGTGAAAAGATGGTTGATTACTTCGTTACTCAAAGGAAACACTACTATTGAACCATGAATATTTCCTAGTATGCTACTTTTCTCTTGTTCATCGGATCAATGATTTGACTAGATTGCAAAAGGATGGTGGCTTTCGCATGACATGACGATGTTGCTGCCTTGCTGGTTAAGGTTGTTGTCTGATGGCATGTTGAGTGGAACTCAGCTGGAAGTATTGTCTGCTATCAGACGTTTACCGAACAAATTGTAATTGACCATTAAACTCACTAATTTCATTATTATTTTCCTGGATATTTTGGTGAAGGATATGGATAGGAGGGCTGAGGATTCTGTTGTCTAGAAGGTACAAAACACTCGTGTTCAGTGCTACTACCAAGGTCTTGTTTAGTTGGCGAATTTTTTTGGAAAATGATCCTATAGCACTTTCGTTGTTATTTGACAATTAGTGTCCATAGTCTAATTATGCTTAAAAGATTCGTCTCGTGAATTTCGTCTAAACTGTGTAATTAGTTTTATTTTTTATTTATATTTAATGCTTCATGCATGCATCCAAAGATTCGATGTGACGGAGAATCTTGAAAAAATTTGCAAAATTTTAGGAACTAAACGGGCACCAAATACAAGTATGATCGTCTACGCATCAATTCCGTCCTTGAGATACTGGACGACAAGATCGAGACAATTAAGAGTTGGCTGGAAATCTTCTGGAAGCAAACTGACAATTCATGTGATAGCTTCTGTTCTTTTGTGGTAGAAGTCGATTCTAGAAGTTGTGACGTTTTTGCTCTGAATCTGAGCCTTCGTGCATTTGTTCAAAGCTTGTAAACTGGTAAACCCAGTCGTGGTGTTGGTGTGAGTTTTAAACTTTGTAAATACCTGTTCCTTTTCTATAAAAACCAGAGTTTTTTCTCTGTAAAAACAAAAGATACGGAACTGCCGATTAGAGTTGTATAAAAAGCTCGTTTAACTTGCTCTGTGACTTTTTAAAATTGTTCTAATTGAAGTTATCTAAAGAAATGAAAATAAGGTAATTTTAAATGACTTTCGACTTTATCTCGGCTTATTAAGCTCGGTTTGAAGTTTTTTCTTAAATAAACAATTTAGGAATACGCCGATTTCGAAGAAAGCTCGATAAAAAGTACAGTCGGCTCGTTAAGTCAGTTATGCACCCCTACTGCTGATACATTTGTTTGGGTGTGAACATCTATAAAAGGTCATTGTTGTTAGCTGTAACTGCTGAACGTTAAATCTAAACTCAAGCAAGTAAGTATTATTTACATCAGGAAGTTTTGCCATATCCGCACAAAACTCATAGATAGAAGAAATTAAAATTCTCTATAGATTATAAACAGAACAACAACAAAAGCTGAATCACTAGTAATTTCCCCTGTTTCAAACTTTTCAGTGTATTCCAAGAGCCTGAAATCTCCTTACTAGAGCAAGATTAGTAGCGTTCCTCATCTGCCAGTCCTCCGTGCTCTCCTTCCTCTGCTCGAACTTGTCCAGCACTTCGTCGTTGCCATCCAGAATGCTCACTATCTTCCTCATGCTCGGCCGCGCCGCTGGGTCTGACCGGGTGCACGCCATGCCAAGCCGAGCCATCCGCACGAACTCCCGACGGTCAAACTTGCCGTCCAGCCGCCGGTCCGCCAGCGCCTCCACTGGACGGTCCAGCTGCTCAAAGAGCTGGACTTTCCTGACGAGAAGAACCTCCGGTAACCTCCCGTCCACGGCCATCGTGCCGGTCAACACCTCCAGCATCACCACGCCGAAGCTGTAGACGTCGGCCATAGTGGTGGCCTCGCCGGTGTCCATGTACTCCGGCGACATGTAGCCGAAGATGCCCTTTGCGGAGCTGGCGGTCACCACCACGTGGTGCCCGCCGCCGTGGTGCTCGTTCCTCGACAGGAACTCCGCGAGCGCGAAGCTCCCGAGCCGCGGGTTCATGTCAGGGTCCAGGAACACCGCCGACGAGGTGATGTTGCGGTGGATGACCTGCTCGTCCCACTCCTCGTGGAGGTACAGGATGGCCGACGCGAGCGCCCTGACGATGCTGTACCGCTGCCGCCACGGGAGCACCGCCGCGCCGCCGTGGCGCCGCTGGAGCAGGTAGTGGCTCAGGAGGCTCCCCGGGGCGTAGTCGTAGACGACGAGCATCTCGCCGTGGTCCGTGCACCACCCGCGCAGCTGCACGAGGTTCCTGTGCCGGAGCTTGGCCAGGTTGCAGAGCTCCCTGGCGAAGCGGACGCGCAGCGCTGGGCACGTCTTCATGCCGAGGCGCTTCACGAGGACGTGGACGCGGCCGTGGCCGGTGTCCAGGAAGCCCTCGTACCCTGTCCCAAAGTCCAGCTCCGCGACCACCTGCGACTCGGAGAAGTCGTTGGTGATGGCGACGATCTCCTTGAAGGATATCTCACGCGGCATGTCCACGTGCGGGATCGCCGCCACGGGAGATAGCCGCGACGACGACCGCCGGCCGGAGTCAGCGGACGCGGACCTGGAGCCGGCCCTACTCCCGTCTTCTGCGGTGTGGTAGATGGTGTCCGCAGCCGCGGTGGCGTAGACGGGCTTGGACAGAGACGTCGTCGCCGTGCTCCTGTCGGTGGTGACGGTCGTGGCGCCGGAGTCAGAGGACGACGACGTGGTGAGGGAGATGTACTTCGGGAGCGCCACGAACGACGGCAGACGCGGGAGGTCGCCGCCGGAGCAACCGTCGGAGAGGTTCTCCACCACCCACCTCATGGTCGGACGCGCCCTGGGGTCATGCAGCGAGCAGAGGAGGCCGAGGTGCATGACCCTTCCGACGTCGAACAGCGCGCCGGCGCCGCCGTCCGGCAGCTTCGCGTCCGCGGCGTCGAGCAGCTTCCCCTCGTCGGACAGCCGGCGCACCCAGTCGAGCATGAAGATCTGGTCGTCGGGGTACGCCAGGTCGACGGCGCGCCGCCCCGTGGCCACCTCGAGGAGCACGATGCCGAAGCTGAAGACGTCGGACTTGGCGGTGCCGCCGGTGGCCCGGCGCTGCAAGCTCTCGGGCGGCAGGTACCCGATGGTCCCGCCGATGCGGCTGGTGTCCATGAGCCGGAACTGGTAGTTGGCCGAGGCCGAGGCAGAGGACGACGACAGACGCAGGGACGTCGGCGACGGCGACACCTCCAGGTGCTGCTGCACGTCGTCGGCGGACACGGCGTGCTCGAGCCAGCGCGCGAGGCCGAAGTCGCCGAGGCGGGCGTTGTACTCGGAGTCGAGCATGACGTTGCTGGTCTTGACGTCGCGGTGGATGATCTGCGTGTCCAGCTTCTCGTGCAGGTAGAAGAGCGCCGCGGCGAGCCCGGCGACGATGCGGCGGCGGCGGTCCCAGCTGAGCGCCGGGGCCGCCTTGGCCTTGGCCGGCGCGAAGAGCAGGCGGTCGAGGCTGCGGTTGGGCATGTAGTCGTAGACGAGCATGAGCTCCTCTCCGGCGCGCACGCACCAGCCGCGGAGGCGCACCAGGTTGCGGTGCCGCAGCCGGGCCACGGCCGCGAGCTCGGCGAGGAACGACTTGTCAAAGCGGCCGATGCTGTCGGCGACGCACTTGACGGCCACCGTGGTACCGTCGCTGGGCAGCACGGCGCGGTACACCCTGCCGAACCCTCCGCTGCCGAGCACCTCGCCGTCGCTGAACCCGCGCGTCCCGATGTAGAGCTCCGAGTAGCTGAATATCCTGGGCCCGCCCCCGGCGCCGGCCAGCTGCTTCCTTCCGGCGACGTCCTCGTCGACCACGCCAGCGATGTCCTCGAACGCCACCGGCATCCCCGACGAGTCGTGGCACCGGTCCGCGCCGCCGCAGCAGCAGGGCCGGTAGCGGCGGAGGCAGAGGCACGACAGCAGGCGACCGGCCGTGGCGCGGACGTACGACCCGGCCGCCTCGAGGTCCAGGGACGTCACCCGGCTGCGCCGCGGCGGGTGGGACGCCGGTGGCGCGGCCTCGTCGACGTCCATCGGCAGCACGAAGCAGAGACGGCGCAACGATGGCGACATGGCTGGACCGGCAGGCAGTGCTAACTAAGCGATCAGCCGATCAGGGAGTGCAACGCGCACTCATGCTAAGCGGCGGGCGGTGGTGCGCTTAGTGCGCGTGGTGGAAGGAAACTAAAGCGCGGGCAGGCGGCCATTCCATTCCCATTCCGTAAGCGTTGGAATGAATTGGGGACGGACGGAAGTGGGTTACGAGTGTGGAAGGGACTGCTGGCGTGGATGGGCTGGGCAGGTGGGGAAGATGGCCAAAAGCAGAAGAGCTCTGTGGCGTGTGGACGACAGCACGGCGGCTAGCTGCACGGGGGGAAGAAGAGACGAGAAAAGAAGACGAAGAATTGAAGACGCACAAAAGCTAGCCACCTTTATGGGACGACAAGAGCAGGGAGGTCGGCGTCACGGTTGATTTTAGGCGGTAAGTTGCGTCCAGCATGCGGTGGGTGCGTCGGTAGGTGGCTATCTATCTCGCGGTTGACCTGCGACTGATCGCCGGCCGGGTGGAGCCGGCGTTCCCGCCAGAAAGTAGGGGCGTCACCGTCTGACTCCTCGTTCATTCACTGCCTTGCCGAGATTAAAGATGTCAACGGGACCTGTTCCCCGCGGAGAATTCCGGGGATGGGATGATACAAATCTTCTCTCCGTGAGGAATTAAATGGGAAAAAAACATCTCCATCGGGTATGACGGGACGGATGGTATGCATGCCCCATCCCCGTTCACCACGGGGGCCCAAAATGTGCACTAAGGAGGCTGCTGCTTAAGCTAGCTGGGCTAGTTGTGAAGCTGTCTGCTGAGCGCGTAGCTGGGCTGAGAAGAAAGAGAGCGCGTGGGCCACTGGGCGCTGAGCGGTGGAGAGGCTGTTGGTTAAGCTAGCTGGCACTGTGGAGAAGTTGGGCGGCCCATCGTAGTGCAAGAGTTGGGCCAGCGGCTTGCGCGGCGTGGGGGCGCAGCTGATGCGCGTGGCCCGGCCATCAGGTGGTGAGTTGATGCGGGGATGGAGATCCCCGTGGGGATTAGATTCCCGTGGGGATTAAATCCCCGAGCGGGGATGGGGATGGGGAAGAAGTGCTTCCCGTGAGCTTTCACGGGACGGGGACGGGAAAATTTTCCCCGTAGGAGACGGGATAGGGTAGCAAGCTCCGACGGGGAATTCCTCGTTGACATGATGAGCCGCGATCGAATACGTACGAGATTCTTTTGAGCGCCTCCTTGATTCGTGAACACAAGTTCATTTCAGACGCTTTTTTATCCTGATGACTACAACGATTTCAGATACAAAGTGTTGTCTGACTGCGAGTGATACAACATGAGAATCAGGCTTTGGTATATCTCGTTTGGAACCGTAACGACGTGTAGGTGTTGGGAGCAAAGATAGGAGACGGGTCGTTCCTGCTCGCCTCTAGAGGACTCTAGAACATCCAAACTCCTAGCTAGGCAGAAAGTCTTTTTCCCCCTTTCATTGCAATGTCTGGCACTGTCTAAATTAGTCTCGCTACATAGACCCTAATCGGCTAGACTAAACATCCGCTTTGAGGTACCCGTAATCAAACTAAGGTTCGGAAAATAATAATCAATAAATAAATACCGGCCTTCGATCAAGTGAGACCTCTTTGTCAACCGCTTCAGTCTTGGATGAAGAAAACCTACCACCTTTGCTGTGGTGCCTGATTGAACATTTGAACCAAAGCAGAGAACAACATCAGTGTACGTTTACTGGATTTGGTTCTGTGACGAATCTAAATTGTTGCAGATAGTGTACGTCAATTGTGAACGGTCTTTTATTGACTTGAGTTCCTTTTTGCAGTTGAAGATAGTTGGACTTCAGTTTGCGAAGAAACTATATGAGAGACCATTTCCACTGCATACAGTTAGGCAGGCTGTAGCCGTCAAGCCGTGCCTGGTGTTGATAGAAGCTTGCTGTACCCTAGAGAGTCAGCCCGCTCGAAACCACCTGTTCAGGTACTGCTCAGGTGTGAAGAAAATCAGCAGCATCTGCTCTGCAACGACAACTGCTACCACTCCTGCAGGTACATCAGCAACATCTACTGCACTCACTCTATTCGGCTGATATTAAAGTCATGAGAAAATCCCATTGTTCCAACTAAAAATTTTGATTTTTTGTGAGAAAAATCCCCGTAACATGATCAGCAACATCTAGTGCACGATCGATAAAAGGAAATATAAATGCAGCCTCACTTTGCTGAACTCAAACTTCTTCAGAACTTAATACATAGATTTTGGGATAATCGGACCATCAAAATCCAACTCTGCATTTATATATAATTTTTTCAGTCAAATTGCTGCTTTTGCGGAGGAGCTAGATGCACGTGAGTGGCGCAGTCGTACACACTGGTTTTTTTTTTTTTTTTGAGAAATAGTCGTACACACTGGTGTCGTCCTGAGTGGCAGAAGCTGCTCGTCTCGCCGCGCGGGCCACAGCCTCGGCCTCCCCGAAGCCGTCCAGGCCTTTACAGCCCAACTCGAGATTGGCCCGAGGGCCCATCAAGCCCGCGAGTCCGAGTCGCGTCCTTCCTGTTTCCTTTCCCGAGGGAATGGTCGTCATCGTCCTCTCCCGGTCCCGGGTGCCATAGCCCTAGCCCTAGCCGCCTGAGACCGAGTCCACCTCTCCTGACTGCAGCGCGGCGACCTCGCCTCCGCCACGGCGCCGATAGCCGGCCGATTCAGATGAACGCGTCTCCTTCCAGATCCAGGTACGCTTCGACCGTTTGATGCGAGCCCCCTGAACCCTAGCAATAATCTGTTTCCGCGACCCGAAACATTCCATCCCGTTCGTCGAAGCTTCGTTCGCTAGGTTTGTTTTCTGCGTGGTGGTGGTAGGTTGATTTATCCGCCGGAACCCCTTGCCTCACGGCAAATCCGCCGCTGGTGGTGGTCCGAATAGGTGGCTATGCGATTCATCCTATAGGATAAAGAGTGCTCATGGGAAATTATTGGGCACCGAGACATCTCAGCGCGATTTTGTGCTGCGTAGAATTGTTGTGTGCCAGTTGATCATTTAGCAGAATATTGATTGATTCCTTAGTAATCAGAGTATTCATATTGAAAGATATTCTTCTAGAGAATTAAGGACAAAATATTGCCATTCATTCTACTATATCATCATACAGCAAGTACCTGTTTGTGATCCTCAATTATAGTATCCGGGTACACAACTTTGACATTTTTCTCTGTCTTCCACTTGAACCAATGGCACATCTCAGTTGGGTTCACCTTTCGAACCACCATCATTTTAGTGAGTTCGAGGAACAAACTGGTGAACTGATGTAACACAAACAAATACCATCTTAGGAAGATTTGCTATTGAGTCAGCATCATTATTCTTATGCGCTGAAACATGCCACTTAAGTGTTCAGAGAAAAATCCCCAGTCATTGCTCAAAAATTGCCTTAGTTATATGTTGCCAACAATTACTTTATTGGGACACAAATTTCACTGTGCTTTTGACTAAAACTAGAGCTTGTTAAGTATTCCTGTCTATTCTGTTTATTATTTATTTTCTGCACAGTTATCTTTACACAAATTTCACTGTGCTTTTGACTAAAACTAGAGCTTGAAATTGGGATTGAGAGATGGGGGGTTGCTCTCCTTTCTTTTCTCTTTTTGGGACTCTAGATTATCTGAAGGGCAATGATGGGAGGCTGGGGGGTTTCGGATGGGTATGAGGGATCAAAGAGGACACGAATGATGATGGAATCGAATCCCTACTTCGCAGTGAACGAAGGGAGTCCATTGGATGTCTCAAAGAGGGCCAGGATGATGGAACCAGGTGCTCCCTATTTTGGGGCTATGGGAAGCAACGCTGGTGGTGCCAGCGGCGGCTTCTACCAGCCCTTTAACAGCAACTTAGCTGGTGCAGGGGTTAGCACTGGTATCCAAAGCTTTCCAGGTGTCCGGCTGCGAGGCCTCCCTTTTGATTGCAACGACATTGACATCTGCAAGTTCTTTGTGGGGCTGGACATAGTGGACTGCCTCCTGGTTAACAAGAATGGGCGCTTTACTGGCGAGGCGTTTGTGGTCTTCCCAACAGCCATGGAAGCAGAATTTGCTCTGCATCGCAACAGGCAGAACATGGGCCGGAGGTATGTTGAGGTGTTCAGATGCAAGAAGCAGGAATATTACTGTGCAGTAGCCAATGAGGTGAACCAGGGTGGTTACTTTGAGCCTGAGCACCGGCGCTCCCCACCTCCTCTGAGGCCTAAGAAGCCGTCTGAAGATAAGGCCAGCATGGAGTATACAGAGGTTCTGAAGCTCCGTGGGCTTCCCTACTCTGCCACCACTGAGGACATCATCAAGTTCTTCCAGGAGTATGAACTGACAGAGGAGAATGTGCATATTGTGTACCGCTCGGATGGGAAGGCTACGGGTGAAGCCTTTGTTGAGTTTCCAACAGCTGAAGTTGCAAAGACGGCCATGTGCAAGGATAAGATGACCATGTGGACTAGGTATGTCGAGCTGTTCCCGTCGACCCCAGAGGAGGCCAACAGGGCAAAATCCCGAGGCAGGTATTGAAGAAATGTGTATTTCAATGATCTCTGTATCCATGCGGCTGTGTTCGAGTTTAGTTTTCATATGGCATGCCTGCCTGTATCGCGGCCAGCAGGGCAAAATCCCGAGGCAGGCATTGAAGAAATGTGTATTTCAATTATCTCTGTATCCATGCGGCTGTGTTCGAGTTTAGCTTTCATATGGCATGCTTGCCTGTATCTCTGTTAGGTGGTGTTAGCTTATCTGAACTGAATTGTAACAGTTGTCCTCTGTTGGATGCACTTGTATGGCATATAATCATTGATGGATTTTGCTTTATTCCAATTTGAGTTTATATGAAGGGCGGGCCTGGTGCAAGCGGTAGAGTCTTACCGTCTGTGACCGGAAGGTCTCGGGTTCGAGTCGCTGGTCTTCTCGCATTGCACAGGCGAGGGTAAGGCTTGCCACTGACAACCTTTCCTAGACTCCCCGCACAAAGTGAGAGCTCTTTGCACTAGGTGCA